GAAAGGCGCTTTCCCTAAACCCCCCGGTCCGGTGTGTGGCTGAAGCGCGATTTTTGCCGTCCTCTGCGTAACCCTCGCAGGGCTGCTTTCCGAGACCGCTGCTGGGGTGGGAAAGGTGCTGGCAGCCTTTTCCCCGAGACACTTGCTTACGAACCGTAATCAACATGTCCTCACAACGAACCGCAAATACTAGTGCCTACACGTAGCGCTGCTTGCTCTTCTTGCTCTCTCTGCTCACAGCGTGGCCACTCCTGTCATGATGTTCGTTACCAAGGTAGCCTAAGTGGAATTTGTCCAGCATAAAAAAAGACCTTTGGGATTTACCATGCAGTGCAAAATTTTTCTGGTGAATGGCTTATGTGGTGAAGAGTTGACAAGTCTCTGAACGCACTGAGTGGGTACCTCTGGTGTAAAATTTACCCCCTATGATACCATTCAAGTGATAACCTTTGAGGGGAACATCTGACTTGCTGTAGTCATCCTGGGACTCAGCTGGTGGCATGTGAGAGCTAGGACCCCTTCAGGCTTTTCCCAGCTTATCCATCGGCAGAGACTTTTCCCAACAGAATGTCACGCTGTTGCACAGCACAGGAAGTTTTTTATATTTGCCATTTGTAGACTTTCTGGTGGGTATGCAGATACCGGTAGGATATTTGCATGATCGGATGGCAGTGAGGAATACCTGAGCTTGCTTTTCTCAGTGAGCTTTTATGGATCCTTTAGAAGTAGTCTGTGATCTGTCAGGAAATTACAGAGCAGAGCTTAAAAAACACCTTATTACAAACAAACAAAAATTCTTAAACCTATAGGGCAAAACACACGGCCTTGTCCTTGCAATCCATGTTACAGGCAAAGGAAAATCTCTCCTGTTGCGTGTGGTCTGATTTGCTTTCATGAAGCTGGGCAGCGTTGGGCCCAAAAGTTGTAGAAATGACCGTACCACAGCCCAGTGGCAAGAGAGTTCCTCTAGAGCAGTCGCGTGGCCACCGAAGAGCTGTGTTGAGAAAGCAAGCACAGGGAACACCTCCGCACACCCCTGCTAAAGACGACGGAGCCTGGCTTCGTGCTTCAGTGCAGTGAAAAAGAGGAGCCCTGAAGGAGTCTTTCCTATTGCACTGGTTTTAAAACATTATGTAGAGGCTAGGCAGGA